TATAATCCCCCAAATAAGAAATCCGTTTGTAACCTCAGGATCCGCCAGAAAAAAAAGATGTCTTGCTATAGCGCCTTACAGAAGGATTATTTGTGTGGAGGACTACAATGATATATTTGGTCGCGACTGAAAACAAGATTCCTTCTGACGGCGGGGAAAAGGCGATTCTTTGTTGTCGAGGATCACAACAAGGTTTCTTCTCTCCTTTGTTGATGATTATAACTGGATTCGTTGTATAGAAGGTTGCACTCGTATTCTTCCTTTTTTGAGGATTACGAACGGATTCCTTTCAAAGGGGGAATGCCATGAATCCTTTTGTGGAGAACCAATCAAAATTTCCTTGCGTAGAAGTTTGAAACAGGATTTCGCTTGTGGCGACCAAAAGAATCGGATTCCTCTTGTGGCGGGCGAAAGTAGGATCAAGTTCGCGGGGGAATTGAATAGGGTTCCCTTTTGCGGAAGATTTCACAAGAAATCGTTGTGTGGCAAATTATAACGGATTTTTGTGTGGAGGATCATAAACAGGACTCCTTTCGATCAGGATCACTTCAGGCTTCTTTTTGGCGGGGGGTCGCAACAAGATCCCTTCCGTGGACGATTCCACTCGGACTCCTCTGAATGCGGATTGTAAACGCATAAGGACCGGGCCATCTTCTGGGCGCCCCGAGCACGATTCGCCGACCGCGTCAGCTTCGATCAGCTTCTGTATAATCTCAGTTCAAAGAGGAATCCGACTGAGATTCACCACGAATGAAATCCTACGGAAGGCACCGACACAGGAAATCGGATTCCTCCACATAAGCGGTCCTTCTGTAATCCCCCACAACAAGAATCCGACTGAAATTCTTCGCAAAGGGAGTCCTAGGAATTCTCGTGTAATACCCATCCCAAAAAAACCGCTTGCACTCATCAGCGGAAGGAATCCGATTGCAATCCTCCACAAAAGGAATCCTATTGCAATCCTCTTCAAAAGAGATCCCATGGCAATCTTCTTCAAAACGAATCCTACTGCAATCCTCCCATAACGAATCACATTGCAATCTTCCTCACATGGAGCCCTATTCTAAGCATGGGCAACAATAGTCCTATTGCAATCAGCCTCGGAAGGAATCTTATAGTAGTCCTCGACATGAAGAATTTGTTTGGTTTGAAAAGAAGGAGGGGCAAGCAGGAGGGGACGATCGCAACAGCTCTCGAGTCACCAGTGCACTCCGTGGCGACACGCGGCAGAGATTGACAGCGGCTTTATTTACAACAGCATCCCAGAAATAATGGCGAGAAGAACTGAAGTGGCCGGCCGGGTAACCGTCACCACATTCAGGGGGAAGGGGAAGAGGAGGGGGACGAACGGTATTGTAATCCTCTAGAAAGTCCGACTGTGACCATGAACCAAAATAATCATAGTGTAATCGTCCTCCAAAAAATCATGGCTTGCTGTAGATCAGAGTTCCAACAACCCCGAAAACAAACAATACAAAACCATTAAAAAAACTGGAAAGCGTAAAACACAACAGAAACACAAGTAAGAGAACCCTGTGTCCTCACAGGGGCCACCTGGTTTGGATGACGAAAACCAATGGTTTGACTTTGAAGACACAAGTTTTGTATTTGGAAGGTTCAAGACAAATCGGCACTGCGGACAAGTGATCCCTGTGCCTACACAGGGATCACACTCACGCTTTGCAATTTTTCTTGGACGTTTCAATAAACATCAAAGAATACCTTGTGTGCTCACAGTCGAACAATTTGTTTTCGTCGTCCCAAACAGGTGGTCCCTAATGAAATCAAAGCTCCCGCACTTTATTCTGGTGTTTCAGTTTTGATATGGTTTTTTCTTGGCTGCTGGAATTTTGATTTCCGATAGCCAAGAAACGCCGAGTAATAATATATAACAATGCGGGAACCATGTGTTATCACAAGGGTCACCTGTTTTGGGCGACAAAATGAATGGCTTGATTTATTTTATTTTTTTAAAAGAAACAACTCTTCGATTGGTATTGAATTGTTAAGAGGAAAAACGGTACTGGGGACAAGTGATCCTTGCGCTTACACAGGTATCACACTTCCGCTTCACAGCCTTTCCTGCAAATAAAATTTAAATCCCCTAACAAACTGAAAAACATGTGTTTATAAAGACACACCATTGTTCTTCGTTGCCCACAGCAGGATATCCCTTTGAAAACACCAGGTCCCCGAACTCGTGTTTCTGTTTCTGTTCAGTTTTTTTGATGTGTGTGGAGCTGTTCCTGGTTTTCGGGGTATGTTGGAAATTTGATTTCCAACAAGCCAACAATCGGAACGCTCTACGTCGAAATCCTCGTACAGAGAACCACGGCAAATAATCCTATTGCAATCCGCCCCGAAAGAAATCGTATTGTAAACCTCGCCATAAAGAATCATATTGCAATCCTCCGCAAAATGAATCCGATTGTAATCCTCTGGGAAATCATAGTGTGAACACGCACCACAATAATCATGTTATCACCGTCTTCAAATGTAACCCTGGCTGGTTGGAAATCAGAATTCCAGCAACCCAGAAAAAATAGAAACAGCGGGAAACACAGGACAAACTGAACAAGTGAGCGCCCTTTTTTTTGCCACACAGGGACCACCTGTTTTGGCAACGAATATAATTAGCTTCACTGTAAGAACACAAGTGTTTTTTTTATTTGTTAGTGAAGGTTCCCCCATAAACGGCAATGGGGACAAATGGTCCTCGTGCCTGCACATGGGTCACACTCACGCGTTACCGCTGTTATTTGGCTTCTTAATAACAATAAAAAACTACCTGGTTGTTTTTACAATCGAACCATGTTTCCGATGCCCAAAGCAGGTGATCCCTGTGAAAACACAAGGTTCCCGCACGTTGGTTCTGGTGTTTCCGCGTGTTGTGTTTGTTTTCCTGTTTGTTGTTGTTTCTGGTTGCTCTGGGCTGTTATAATTCTGATATCCAACAACTCAGAGAAAGAAAAAAAAACACATACACATCATAACAACAGAAAAAAATGAATCGCATATTAAAATGCGGGAACCCTATGCATCCACAGTGATCACCTACTTTGGACAACGAAAGCCAATAGTTTGATCGAAAAACACAAAACGCTTTCGTTGAAAACTACTAGAATGTTCAAGGAAACAACAAGACTGAGGACAAATGCCCCCTGTGCCTGCACAGAGATCGCGCTCCAGCTGTACCGCATTGTCTTGAACATGACACTGAAATTCAAAGAAAACCCTGTATGTGTTTTTCCAGACAAACCATTGGTTTCGTTGCCCCAAACAGGTGGCCCCTGTGAAAACACATGGTTCCCACACGTGTTTTTGTTGTTGTGTTTTGTCCTGGCCTTTTCTGTTTGTTTCAATGTTTTGTCCCTACCTAGGCTCTGCCTAGAAGGGTTCTTACTCTGTAAACTTAAAGGGCCGGGCAGTGCAAAACGCCCCGGGCGGTTCCCCCGGCATCCGCCCCGCGGTTCCCCCAGTGACGCTCCCTTAGCTTAGCGTTACTTATGTCATCTTAACTTAGTTTATTTCATCTTAGCTTAGCTTAGCTTCATCTTACCACAGCTTTATCTTAGCTTAGTTTACCTTCATCTTAGCTTCGCTGAGCTTTAGGCTAGCATAGCATAGCATAGCAGAGCACAGCATAGCTTAGCGAAGCCAAGAATAGCATAGCACGGCATAACATAGCGCAGCATAGCATAGCATAGCATAGCATAGCAGAGCATAGCGCAGCTTAGCATAGCATAGTATAGCATAGCTTAGCATAGCACAGCGCAGCATGACGTAGCATTGCATAGCTTAGCATAGCACAGCATAGCGCAGCACAGCATAGTATAGCATAGCGCAGCATAACATTGATCGCTTTTCCTAGTCAGTGACTTGCTTGGGGCTTCACAGGACATCAACCGGGGCTCTGCTATATATTGAAGGCCACGGCGAATCATTCGAAAACTCAGCGCTCTCAACCAGGACGCAAATTTTCCTCCGAGGCTTTGGGCTGGCCTTGGGCAGGTGGAAAACTGCCAGAGAAAAACGGCGACAGGCGGAACGCTCATCATTCCCGTGCATCACCTCCATGGTCGATCTTTTTCTAGCCAGAGACTTGCTTTGGGGTTTCACAGGACATCTGCCGGGGCTCTGCTATATACTGAAGGCCACGGCGAATCATTCGAAAACTCCAAACTTCAAAACAGACATCCCGCCACCAAGCATTGCATTGAAAATCGCTTGCTTATAAAGTTGCCAGGCTTTTGTCATTTCCTTCAGGGAACTACTTTGGTGAAGAGTGGAGGCAAGGAGGGAGCAGAGGAGGGCAGGATAGGCATTCTTCAGCTTCGTGAGGAATTGCCCCTTTGCCTGTTAGTTCGACGTGAGGCTTGCCCGTGAACGCGCAGAGACCCCGCGGCCCTCGACAGAGCAGATGGTTTAAACCAGGATCGGGTCGGCAACATCAAAACCGCAAGCGAGCGCGGCCCCTAAAAGGCCGTCCACAGGCGCAGTAATCTGCAATTCTCTCCTCGAGCAGGCCAGACGTCCAGGGGTAAACCCGATCGGGACGAAGCCGCAGAAAGCTCTGCCACGGATTTTCTCCCCCACCAGGAATCTTGCGCTGGATGCGCAGGCGTTGCAGCTCACCCGCAATAGCGCCAAGACGATTAGAAACAGTCAAGAGCCCAAGGTCATTGCCGCGCACACCTGGGAGCCCGAGGGGATACGTCGGAGATCGAATTGCCTTCGGCATTCGGCTATGCGGCGGTGCTCTGCTCGCGCGAGCATAGCCCTCGCACGGCGCGCCAAGCCGCACTGCCTTCACCACTCCTGAAATGATCCAGCCTCGCAAAACGTGCCACGCCTCAGGGATGAGTAGATCGAAGTATTCACCATTTTTCGTGCCCCATTATATCACGGCTTCTCCTCTCGCACGCAGGTGCCGGCTGAGCTCGCCAGAGCCCGAGAAGACCTCGACAATCACTCTGGACTGCTGGCCGCGCGTCGCCTTCAGCGCAGCCCGAAGTACTTCTCGAAGGCGAACTCGATGCCAGCCGACCTTCGCCGGAGCAGCGCCAGGCGCGCTGGCCCCAGCTTCTGCAGCTCGAGGCCCAGGCGGCCGTGCTTCTCGTAGCGCGTAACGCTCCGGAACGCGCGCCGCCCGCCGCGCTGCTGCGCGGCGGCCAAGGACCTGGCGCCTATGCTCCGGTCGTGGCTGGCGCCGCCATGGCGGAGCGAGTAGATGGTGCCCTGCAGCACCGAGGCACCAACTCCGTTCAAGACCGTCTTGAAGGCTGCGGCGGAGTCCGCGTGCACGAGGCCGAGGAGCGAACTGCCCGGGCCACGGCGGCGCACCACCACCTCCACGCAGCGGGCTGGGCTAGCCAGCACTGCCTCCCCAAGTCCAGCGGCGCGCTGATGTCGAAGGCGTTCGTCTTGGACGGCACCGGCGCTTCCTGCGCCCGGATGACGAAGGTCAGCCAACGGGCGGCCCCCGCCTCGCCCGGGATGGGCAGCGCGACGTGGTCGGTCAGAAGCGCGCCAGCAGCCCGGAGGGGCGCGTGTAGGTCTCGAACATTATCACGATCCCGAGCGCTGCCATGCCCATGTCGAGGTCGAGCAGCTCCCGGGCCGCAGCGGCCGCCGCCAGCCAGGGCAGCGGAGGGCGCGAGAACTCGGGCCGTCGCTGGACCCAGCCCTTCAGCGCCTGCTGCAGGACGGGGAAGGCGGCGCGCAAGGACCCCAGAGCGAGACGAGGATCTCCTCAGAGCAGGGCGGGCCCGACTCGCTTCGCAGTCGCAGCAGCCCCGCCTTTGTCGAAGAGCCACTCCACGAACTCCACCAGGATGCAGCCCCAGTCCTCGCGCGACCAGTCCGGGAGGCAGCCCAAGCGGAGCCAGACGAGCAAGGCCTCCAGCACGCCCAGGTAGATGGTCCGGGTCTTCAGCCTCACCTTCTCGGCGGCCAGCCGGGGCAGGCGAGGGCAGAGTAGCTGCCGCTCTCGCTCGACCCAGCGCCGCACCTCCACGTCGCCGCGCTGCTCGGTCGGCCCGAGCCTGCGCTGCGAGGCCGGCGGCCGCCGACCAGAGCCCGGGCACCCAAAGGTGGGCACCCTCGACGCGCTGTCCGAACCTCGGGTCGCTCGGCGCGCCGAGCGGGATCGACTGCTTCTCCCTTCGGCTGGGCCTGAGCCTGAACTCCAGGTGGGCGGCGGGACCGGTGACCGAGCCGTCAGCGTCCTCCTTTGCACGCGGCCCGCGCCCACGCTCGTGCGCGAGGCCAGGCGGCCGATGCCGACGAGAGGCCTGATCGCTGGGGTTCCACTCCGAAGGTAGCCACCGACAGCGCAGCCGGACGTCGGCCGCGACGCTGACAGCGAACGCGACTCGGCAGGCAAGCAGTAGACGATGATGCGAAGCTCTTCCTTTTGCCAGTGCAGGGGTGACCGACATGTTGTCTCCCAGAACAAGGCGGCGCTGGCCATGCCGCCGAGCGTGCTCAGCTATGCGCCTCGCGGCCCAGCAGACAGAGGCGGCCTCGAGGCAGTGGGTTGCCTCGCGCCGCCTCCAGCGCCCGCAACCCACCACGCGCCAGGTAGCCTCGGCCAGGGCCCTCGCGCTGACCTCAGGGAACTCCGACACGCGGCCGGTCAGGATCAGGGCGGCGCCCGGAGCCTCCGCCACCTCAGCCTCCAGGGTGCGATCCCGGGGGGCGCCAGCAGCAGCGAGTGGCCCGCGGAAGCGAGCTCGCTCAGAGAGTCGACCGTGACTGGCGACGGCAGCGGGCTCCCACTCCGCCCCGACGACGCCGTAGCCCCAAGGTGAGGCGTCGTAGGCGGTGACCGTCGAGGACCAGGCCTTGCCCATCTCGCCGACGATGCAAGGCAGCAGCGAGCGTACCCAGAAGAGCTCGCGTCGAGCGCTGGACCAGCGCGGCTGGCGCTTCTGGCCAGAGGTCTCCGTGAAGGTGTAGCAGGCGGACAGCATGGCTAGCGACTCTCGCCTCAGCACGCACGCGGCCACGATGTGCCCCAAGACGCGCTCAACCTCGTGCCCTGTGACCTTCCTGCCCTTGTCCTCAAGCAGGTAGTCGAGAGCGCCCATGAGCCGCCAATGACGCTGAGGCTTGGTACGCCATCGGCCAGTGGTCCGGCAGAGCTCGCACCCCAGCAGCTCGGCCTTGCTGCCGTCGCACACCTCGATGGCGCTGACGACCCCGAGGTCGGCCAGCGCCTCACGCATAACCTGGGCGGCCCCCTCGGCGCGCACCTGGTCGACGGAGGCGACGGCGAAGTTGTCGATGTGGAGCGCCTTCGCGTCGTCGCGCCGAAGGTCAGCGCCGGGCCGCCTATCAAGGACCCAGCGGCCACTCTGGGGCGCTCTCTCCATGACTTTAGGTGGCCCTGCTGCGTCAGGTCGACCGCCCAGAACCGACCGCGAAGCGCAGCAGGCAAGTACTGAGCCATAATCGCGGGCAAGGTGAAGCACCGCCTCGCCCGCTCAGGCAGCTCATACAGGTAAAAGCACGCCTCGACGCTCCCAGAGCAGAACCCGATCATGTCGGGCCCGTCGTACTCGAAAGCAGCGAGGGCCTCCGGGCTGGCGAGCTCGGCGTAGGCAGGCTCGACGAAGTGAAGGTTAGCAGCACGGGCGTCGGCGATCAAGCGAAGCTTGTGGTCTTTGCGCCGCACGGAAAATTAGCCAATCTCCCCCAAGGCGTTCCCAGGGTCTACCTCCACCACGCCCGCGTCGAACAGTTCCGACAGGGCGCGGCCAGAATCGCAGCCCCTCCGCGCAGCTTCGGGTCGAGAAAGCGCAAGTTATCAGCGCACGATTCGAACGAGGATTGAACTTCAGCAGGCTCGCGCAGCAAACCGCGGCTAGCCTCCAGCATCTTGAGCAGCGGCCCCCGCATGATCGAGCCCAAGTCGACCCGGCCAGCGCCGCCACAGGGTAACGAGATCATACCCGGCTGGTAGACCGCCCTGCCACCTTCCGACTCGGACTCAGCGTAGCCCGGCCGAAGCCCCTGCAACGCCTTCCACGAGGCATAGGCATCATGGTGCGCATCTGGGAAGCTCACCGAACCATACAGGCCAGCGAGGCGGCATACAGCGACGCGTTGGGCCTCTGTGAGCACCGCTTTAGGAGCAACTTGTCGCCCCTGACCTCCCAGCGCGTTCAAACTACGAAGACCATCTCGCCACCGGCGATTCTGTCGATCACGCTCTGCACCTCGGCGCTGGGCTGCAGGGGGCGACCCGGGCGGGCCCGAGCCATGCAGTACTGAATCCAGCCCAACGCCCAATGGGATCGGAAGCAGGTCGCGAGACGAAACGACAACGTCCATGACGCAAAGCTGCAGCACCGGGTAGTCCACGGGCGCCTCCCCTGAGAACTGTGACGAGCTGGCCGGGGGGCTCCAGCCGTCACCGCTGAGAGAGATGTAGAGCGCGGGCTAGCCCGTGCCCTCGGCGCCCTTGGGGGCCGTCTTCGGCTTCTTAGGCTTCTTCTTGGGGTTCAGTTGGCCAGCTGAGTTGACGCCCCCCCGCGCGTTCGTGTAGGCGTGCGGTGCTGGACAGGCGGCCCCGGCAGGAGCCACACCAGCGGCCAGGAGCTTCTCCTCCCGGCCCTTCCTCCTCTCCTTCAGGATCGCGGCTTCCTTCTGCAGGCGCTCCGCGACCCACTCCTTCAGCCCGGGGGCCACCAGGGCGGCCCCCCGGCCCCGCTGCTGCCCCAAGAAGATCTCGCGCTCGTCGAGCCACGCCGAGCCTCCTGCACCACCGCCCCCCTCGGCCTCGCGCAAGGCGGCGCTGTAGACCTCCTCCCACAGCTGGTACCTCCGGCACACCATCTCGAAGAACACGAGGTTGGGCAGGCACATCTGGTCGATCTGGCACCCGACCTCCAGCATCTCGCTAGGCGTGTTCATCCACACCCAGGTCCTCAACCGACAAGCCGAGGATCTGGCGCGACCAGTGATGTCTCTGCATTGGGGTGAAGTTCAGCTTGACGAACTGCATGAGCAGCCGCAAACAAGCACGCGGGCCGACGATAGGCCAACCCTTGACGCTCACGAGCTGCACCGAGCTCACCGCGTCCGGGAACGGCCTGCTCCGATCACCGAGGCCGTCGACCTTCACCGCCAGCGTCCTGATGTCGTCCCGGCCGCGCGGCGTGGGCCACGACGCGGCGCCGGGCAGCGCCACCGCCAACGAGCTCCCGTCAGACAGCTCGAGCACGCCACGATCGCCGAAGACCGCCTTGGGCCTCACCCTCGAGATGAGGTCGCCGATCTGGTAGCCGGCTCGGGCCTCGGCAGCCTCCCAGTCGCGAAGGGCACCTCCAGCATCGCCCGCGCCGAGAGCCGGCGGACCAGCAGGCGCAGGAAGTGGTGGAGGACCCGCTCCGGCAGGCTCGCCGGCGGCAGCACCGTCCAAAGGCACGGGGCCGCCGTCGCCAGGATCAGGAAGGCCCCCCTCGGCGCGAATCTGCTCAGCACACTCGCGGGCGGCGCGAAGCAGCTCAGGCCGACGACGCTCGAACTCGTCCATGTCAATGCGCAGCACCCCCCCGGTACACTGTGCCGATGCCGCCGCGCGGCCCGACTGGCCTCAAGTCCAAGGCCTCGCCCAGGTCCTCGTCGTACAGGTCGAAGTGCGGCGTCACTATGATCCACCGCGTGCCCCCGAGGGGCTCCAATAGCACACGCTCGTGCCAGTAGTTCTCGGCCAGATCGTAGAAGGCGAGCGCCCTGACAAGACGAGCTAGGCGCTCGAGGGCACCCACTTTGTGCGACAGCTTCGGCGCCATCGGGCCCGCGGAGAGCAGCAAGGGCAGGCTTAGGCCGGAAACTCCACCTCTCGACCGCGCCGAGCTCGCGCGCCAGCAGGCCCGAGAAGAACGCGAGCAACACCAGCACACCGACGAACACCCAGTCGGAGACGGCCCAGCCCTGCGCGACGGATTCCTGGCGGACGAGGTTCTCCGGCCCGCACCTGTCGAGCTGGCACTGGAGCAGCGCGATCAAGCCCGCGTCGACGTTGCCGCCCTCGAACCTGCACGCGCAGGTTGAATCGCGGACGCTGCTCCCGCGCCCAAGCCAGGTGCCCAGCGCCTGCCCGAGCACAGCCGAGCCCCAATGAAAAGCCTGGCCCACCACTTGGCCCGCGAAAGCCCCTGCGAGCGCGGCCATCCACCACCTCAGGTGGAAAATTGCTTGAGAAAAACGGCGACAGGCGGAACGCTCATCATTCCCGCGCATCACTTCCAAGCATAGCATAGCATAGCATAGCATAGCATAGCAACTAATGCTGCTTTCCTAGGGGTTCCAACTTCTATGTAGGGTCGCACTGGGGTAATTTTCTGGCTGTTCCGGATTATTGGAAATTTGATTTCCAACACGCCAGAATTCGGACAACTCTAAAGTCGAAATCCTCCAAAGAACCACAACAAAGGACCACGCGGAAAGGCTACGCAAGAAAATGTACAACGCAATGACGAAAACAAAACCAAGCGGGAAACTCAAACACAGATCTTGGGAACCGCCCCTACCATATAAAGATATACAATATGGATTCCTGCTCCTGCTCCTCTTTATCCTCCCTCATCCTCTTCATCAGCCTCTCCCCCATCCTCGTCGTCATCGTCGTCGTCCTTCTCTTCCTGCTCCTGTCCTCCCTCCTCTCCATCAGCGCTGCTGTCGTCGTCGCCCCTCCTCCTCCTCCTGCTCCTTCGCTGCGCGCACCGCTGCTCGAGCCGCAGCAGCAGCTGCCCCAGGGCTTGCGAGCCAGCTTCCGTGCCAACCGCTCGAGGAGAGGCATGTGGAGCATGGGGACGGCGAGGGAGTGGGAGCGGGAGCTCTCGGCGCAGAGCGGGGTCGGGAGGGGGGGCGAGGAGGGAGGGGGCGGGAGGGAGAGCGAGCAGGCCAGAGGAGCGGAGCGGCGCCACAGAGGCAGGACGAGGAGGGACAAGAGAGGGAGGGAGCAAGGGAGGAAGGAGGGACGGAGGAACACGGAGACAGAGCAAGGAAACAGATATGTAAATGTAAATACATATATATATATACATAGATATACAAATACATGTCCCCATACATATATATACATATATATGACATAAGGATAAAACAAGAGAGGGGGAGAGAGAGAGAGAGAGACAGAGGCAGAGAGACAAAGGGAGAGAGAGAGAGAGAGAGAGAGAGAAAACAAAAAAAGAAAAAATATCCTGGCGAAGGACCCAACCATATGCAATTGTGAATAACGCTTTGTGGGTGCCGCTTTCGGTGGGGCTTCTTATGGAGCCACGAAAGGCGTGCCACGAAACGCTGTCCTGGGCGTACGGGACGCATGAGGGCGGTAGCATTGGGGCCTTCGGTGGAGCTCCCTGTGGGGCCACGAAACGTGTGAGGGGTGTGCCGAAATGGGTGCGGCGCCGCCATGCGGACGCAGCCACTGGGGCATTCGGTGGAGCTCCCTATGGGGCCATGAAACGTGTGAGGGGTGTGCCGAAATGGGTGCGGCGCCGCCATGCGCCCGCAGCCACTGGGGCCTTCGGTGGAGCTCCCTATGGGGCCACGAAGCGTGTGAGGGGTGTGCCGGAATGGGTGCGACGCCGCCATGCGACCGCAGCCACTGGGGCCTTCGGCGGAGCTCCCTATGGGGCCACGAAGCGTGTGAGGGGTGTGCCGAAATGGGTGCGGCGCCGCCATGCGCCCGCAGCCACTGGGGCCTTCGGTGGAGCTCCCTATGGGGCCACGAAACGTGTGAGGGGTGTGCCGAAATGGTGCGGCGCCGCCATGCGCCCGCAGCCACTGGGGCCTTCGGTGGAGCTCCCTATGGGGCCACGAAACGTGTGAGGGGTGTGCCGAAATGGGTGCGGCGCCGCCATGCGCCCGCAGCCACTGGGGCCTTCGGTGGAGCTCCCTATGGGGCCACGAAGCGTGTGAGGGTGTGCCGAAATGGGTGCGGCGCCGCCATGCGCCCGCAGCCACTGGGGCCTTCGGTGGAGCTCCCTATGGGGCCACGAAACGTGTGAGGGGTGTGCCGAAATGGGTGCGGCGCCGCCATGCGCCCGCAGCCACTGGGGCCTTCGGTGGAGCTCCCTATGGGGCCACGAAACGTGTGAGGGGTGTGCCGAAATGGGTGCGGCGCCGCCATGCGCCCGCAGCCACTGGGGCCTTCGGTGGAGCTCCCTATGGGGCCACGAAACGTGTGAGGGGTGTGCCGAAATGGGTGCGGCGCCGCCATGCGCCCGCAGCCACTGGGGCCTTCGGTGGAGCTCCCTATGGGGCCACGAAACGTGTGAGGGGTGTGCCGAAATGGGTGCGGCGCCGCCATGCGCCCGCAGCCACTGGGGCCTTCGGTGGAGCTCCCGATGGGGCCACGAAACGTGTGAGGGGTGTGCCGAAATGGGTGCGGCGCCGCCATGCGCCCGCAGCCACTGGGGCCTTCGGTGGAGCTCGGAGCTCCCTATGGGGCCACGAAACGTGTGAGGGGTGTGCCGAAATGGGTGCGGCGCCGCCATGCGCCCGCAGCCACTGGTGCCTTCGGTGGAGCTCCCTATGGGGCCATGAAACGTGTGAGGGGTGTGCCGAAATGGGTGCGGCGACGAGGGAGGGGGCAGCGGGAGGAAGGAAGGAAGGAGAGGAGACGCGGGGCACCCTCTCTTCAAAACCAGGACCCAACACCACAGGATGGTTGGGAAAAAAACGAGAGTGAGAGAGAGAGGGAGAGAGAGAAAGCGAGAGAGCGAGAGAGAGAGAGAGAGAGAGAGAACAAAGAGAGCACACGTGGAAGGAGGGCGGGAGGACGGCTGGAAAGATGCACGGAGGAGCCCACAGGTGGACTCAGCGGCTCCCGGGGCCCGCCTCGTAGCTGCGGGGGCCGCGCGGGGCGAGCGGCTGCGGGGGCACATCGTCGCCAGGCGCTGATGCCTGCAGGAGGGACTGTTCATTCCCTCCTCATCCACGTCATCACCTTCATCACCATCGTCGACGTCGTCGTCGTCGGCATCAGCATCATCATCATCACCATCACCATCACCATCACCATCACCATCAGCATCATCATCATCATCATCATCATCATCATCATCATCATCATCATCATCATCATCACCATGATCATCATCGTCACCATGATCAGCATCACCATCATCATCACCACCACCATCATCACCTTCAGCATCATCACCATCAGCATCATCTACGGCATTATCAAAGTCAGCAGCATCATCCTTTTCACCATCATCATAATCATCAACATCGCAACCACCACCAACATCACCATCAGCATATTCATCGCCACTATCATCACAAGCATGATCATCAGCATGATCATCAGCACAATCATCGTCATCACCACCATCGTCACCGTCATCATCATCACCATCATCGCCAACAGCATCATCACCATCACCGCCATCATCATCATACTCATCACCATCATCACCATCACCATCACCACCGTCATCACAACCATCACCATCACCATCAGTAACATCAACAACATCATCATCAACATCATCATCGTAAGCATCATTATAGCCAGCATCATCCTCCTCCTCGGCATCATCATCACCATCACCAGCAGCATCACCGGCATCATTATCATCAACGTCACCACAACCATCATCAACGTCATCATCATCGTCATCATCATCATCGTTGCCGCCATCATCATCACCATCACAAGCTTCGCCACCAGTCATCATCAACGACATTATCATCAGCAGCACCAGCATCAGCATCAATACCACCACCACCATTAGCATGATCAACATAATCTCCGCCACCCATCACCACATCATCATCACAACCACCGTCATCATCATCATCATCATCACATGTACCATCAGCATCAACATCATCATCATCATCAGCATTATCATGATCATCATCGTCATCACCATCGTCGCCACCACTATCACCATCATCAGCCCCATCATCATTATTATCGTCGCCATCATCATCATCGCCATCAGCAGCATCCTCGTCATAAGCATCATCATCGCCATCGCCATCATCAGCATTATCGCCATCACCATTTTCATCGCCACCATGAGCATCAATATCATCATCATCCTCATCATCATCATCATCATCATCATCATGACCGTCGTCATCAAATCAACATCAACCTCATCATCATCATCATCATCATCATCATCATCATCATCATCCTTATCATCATCAACATCATCTGAAACACTATCATCATCATCCCCGTCATCACCGCCACCAGCATCACCAGTATCAAGGACATCAAAATCGCCGCCACCAACCATCATCAGCATCATCACCACCACCATCAACCTCATCACCACCACCAGCGTTCATCATCACCATCAACCTCATCACCACCACCAGGAGCATCATCATCATCTGCATCATGATCATCATCATCATCATCAGCATCATCACCATCATCATCATCATCATCATCATCATCATCATCATCATCATCATCATCATCATCATCTTCATTGTGAGTGTCGATGTAGTCATCGCCAGCATCATCGTCCTAACCCTCTTCCTCATCGTCCTTCTACTCCTCCGCCTGATCGTTACCAGCATTACCCTTATTCCTCTTCTTCTCCTTCTCACCGCCGTCCTCCTCCTCAGCATATTCACCCTCCTCCTTCATCTCGCAGTCCTCGTCATTCTCCGCCTCATCCTCTTCGCCACCCCTCCTCCTCCCCTCCCGAACCACAAGGCTCATCCCTCGCGCCTGTGCTGTCTCAAATGGCATCGTCTCTTGATCCCCCTCCGCTCGTGCTTCCGCAGGCCGCTCTCGCCGAGAGATCTCGCGGCGGGGCGGCCCGCAACAAGGAGCGCGGGACTGCTGCGACGGGTGCTCACTTCGGCGGGCAGCGCCTCGCCAGGACTTGCCTCGCCGTGTCTCGCTTCGCGTGGGCTCGCTCCGTCGGAACCTCGCTACCCGAGACGGAGAAGAAATAGAAGGAGAACAAGAAAACAAAAACGAAGAAATGGGGAGGGGGTGACGGGGGAGGGAGGGAGGAGGAGGAGGAGGAGGAGGAGGAAGGAGGATGAGGAGGAAGGAGGAGGAGGAGAAGGAGGAGGAGGAGGAGGGAGGAGGAAGGAAGGACGAGGCAAGTTTGCCGAAGAAAGACAACGGAAAAACGGGGAGGGAGGGTATTTGTTTGAGCTCAGCAGCTCAGCGCCGTTTCAACCTGAGGTGTGCAAGCAGTGGCGGCTGGACTCGCTGCAAATGCCCGCGCGAACAAGGCCGCACAAGCAGGAGAAAGGCTCGGAGGTGAGACGGCACCCCGCTGCCAGCGGCCCCTTGGGCCAGGCCGAACTGCGAGCAAGCGGGCTGGCAAGCCAAAGGGCGTCGCAAGGTCGACAACTTCACAAAACGCTGACGTCGCAGCGTCCCTGAAGGGGAGCTCCCAAGCGGAGGCCAGCAGAGTCCAAAGGGGTAAGGCCGCAGAGGGCCTCAGCCTGTCCGGCTGTTGAGGCCACCACCTGGGACGCACAGAGCCATGTCCTCCTTGGAGGCGCGCGTCCGACCCGAACACGTAGCATACCCATCTTCTAGTATATCGTTTCCCGAGCGGTGTGGCCAAAAAGCGCCCGCCACGAGACATATAATGTAAAATTTCTCGGTGCGCGCCTCGCACCTTGGGGGGCGACGATGTATATATATATATATATATATATATACATACATACATACGTATATACATACATACATACATACATACATACATACATACATACATACATACGTACATACTAGAACCATCGCGCGCGCCTCGCGCGCGCTTCGGTTCTAGTTGAGGTCTTGGGGCAATGTTTGGAGCCTCTTGGGCTGTCTTGGGCGCCTATTGGGCCGTCGTCGGGGCCTCTTGGGCCGTCTTGGGGCTCTCTTGGGAGCCTCTTGGACCAGCTTGGGACGGTCTTGGGGGCCTCTTGGGCCGTCTTGGAGCGTCGGGACGACGAAAAATTGAGGAAGCCAAAAACCTTTTAAAGCCTGAAAGCAAGCAATGATTTCGGCTGTTTGGGTCCCTCTTGGGAATGCTCTTGGGGCTGTCTTGGGACGTCTTGGACGCAACTTGGGCCATCCGGGAACCATCTTGGGCGTCTTGGAGCGGTCTTAGGCGCGTCGAGGCACGCCTTGACCGTCTTCGACGCCTCTTGGGCCGTGTTTGCAAGCTACTGGGCGGTCTTAGGCGCCTATTGGGTTGTTTTTGGGCCCTCTTGAGCCGTCTTGGGGCGCTCTTGGGGGCCTCTTGGGCGATCTTGGGACGGTCTTGGGGGCTTCGTGGGCTGTCTTGGAGGGTCGGGACGACGAAAAAACAAGAAAACCAAACACCTGCAAAAACCCAACGGAAATCTATGATTTCGGCCTCTTGCAGCCCTCTTGGGAATGCTCTTGGGGCTGTCTTGGGACGTCTTGGAGGCCTCTTGGGCCATCTGGGAGCCATCATGGGCGTCTTGGAGCGGTCTTAGGCGCGTCGAGAAACGCTTTGACCGTCTTCGACGCCTCGTGGGCCGTGTTGCAAGCTCTTGGGCGGTCTTAGGCGCCTGTTCGGTTGTTTTTAGGCCCTCTTGGGCCGTCTTGGGGGCGCTCTTGGGGGCCTCTTGGGCGATCTTGGGACGGTCTTGGGGACTTCGTGGGCTGTCTTGGAGGGTCGGGACGACGAAAAAACAAGAAAACCAAAAACCTGCAAAACCCAACGGAATTCAATGGTTTCGGCCTCATACAGCCCTCTTGGGAATGCTCTTGGAGCTCTCTTGGGACGTCTTGGAGGCCTCTTGGGCCATCTGGGAGCCATCTTGGGAGTCTTGGAGCGGTCTTAGGCGCGTCGTGGCACGCTTTGACTGCCTTCGACGCCTCTTGGGCCGTGTTTGCAAGCTCTTGGGCGGTCTTAGGCGCCTATTGGGTTATTTTTAGGCCCTCTTGGACAGTCTTGGGGCGCTCTTGGGGGCCTCTTGGGCGATCTTGGGACGGTCTTGGGGGCTTCGTGGGATGTCTTGGAGGGTCGGGACGACAAAAAAACAAGAAAACCAAAAACCTGCTAACAACCACCGGAAATCAATGATATCGGCCTCTTGCAGCCCTCTTGGGAATGCTCTTGGGGCTCTCATGGGAGATCTTGGAGGCCTCTTGGGCCGTCTGGGAGCCATCTTGGGCGTCTTGGATCGATCGTAAGCGTCTCGAGGCACGCTTGGACCGTCTTCGGCGCCTCTTGGGCCGGACAAGGGCGCTCCCGGAGGCCCGATCCCGCCATGGGGGGTTGCGGTCCCGGCCAGGGAGCCCCCGGCCCTGTAGCCTGGTATCTATATATATATATATATATATATATACATATATGTATGTATGTATGTATGTATGTCTGTCTGTCTGTCTGTATGTATGTATGTATGTATGTATGTATGTATGTATGTATGTATATATATGTATATATATATATATAATGTTGGGGTGGCGCCGACCACCCCCTGACAAAACAAAATCCCGTAAGCTCTGCAACTGCAACAAAGCAGGGAGTGGTCGACCGCTCACGCTGACATCATGAACGAGTTGCACAAGAGAGTGCCGTGAGCACACAACCCATATATGGCTGGGGGAGAAAAAGTCAGCCGTCATACCCCTCTACTAGTTAGTTGACGTATCCGAAGCACAACGAAAGCGAAAGAGAGGCGACACTGCGGATCTGGCCGAACCGCCCCGAAGCACCAACATTGGCCACCGCATGCTTGCGACGAGGGTGTGGATAAATGCCTTTGCTAGAAGAAGAGAAAACAGCATGAACATAAACTTTGGGCGCCCCGCGCGGACTTCTTGAATCTGCGCCGGACCCCCCGCCCTGGCGCGCGGAGCGCGCCAGGGGCGGCGCCGGAGGGGCCACTAGGGGGGCCCAGCGAAGATCCAAGAAATCCGCGCGGACCTCCGAGAGTTTATGCTTACATCGTTTTTTGTGCTTCGACTTGCACGGGTCAAGAAGATTCGATTCAGAGTTCCTGGACGGGTGTCTGTTGCACACCTTGCCCGGCCCATCGACCCTGGTGCGCCCTGGCAGGCCAGCGCGACAACGCCGCGCCACTGGCCAGCCATCTGGCCCAGCGAGCCCGGTCGCGACCAGGCCTGTCGCGCACAGAACTTCGGCACCGCGGCGCGGGTGGGCGCTGGCCGCGCCGGGGAGCTCCAGGCGAGGCCACTCGCGTAAGTTCCCAGCGGCACTCTTGCAGACAGTCCTGACGGTAGCGGCCTGCTCCTGGCGGCGCGCGGAGGGGGGTATGGGGGAGGGGGGAAGCTTCTTTGAAGGAGGCTGCTTCTTAGAAGGCGTCGGCCTCACATCTACAGACAAGGCCCGCGCCTTCTAAGAAACAGCCCCCTTCTCAGAAGCCTTCCCCCTCCCCTACCCCCCCTCTGCCTGTGGCCGGGAGGAGGAGGAGGAGGAGGAGGAGAAGGAGGCGGAGAATGAGGAGGAGGAGGAGGAGAAGGAAGAGGAGGAGGAGGAGGAAGAGGAGGAGGAGGAGGATCAGGAGAAGGAGAGGGGAGGGAGGAGGAGGAGGAGGAGAAGGAGGAGGAAGAAGAGGAGAAAAAGGAGAAGGAAGCTGAGGGCCCCCCCCATACCCCTACACCCCTCCGCGCGCGCCGCGCTGTCCGAAGGAAACGAACCGAACCCAGAGGGGCTGCCACGACGCATACACTATATGATTTCTCGTTGTGCGCGTCGCCCCTGGGGGGGCGACGCACACATAGTATTAGCATGTTGGGGTGACGCCGAGTCAGACGTTCTAAAACAATATTAAGGTGGCCAGAGATGCGGCAGGAGGCAGAAAAGGTGTCCAATGTCCCCATCCGATCGGGAGAAAAGCAGCGAGCTCACGAAGCATTTGGCACCACCACTGGGCACTGGAAATAGAGCTTCATTTTGTCAGCACCCATGCTGGCACACCCGAAAACACACGAACAAATGGGCTGCCTGAATCCTTTGGAGAGGTCGGCCAAGCGTTAAACACTGTTTTTACATGAATGACTGTTTCCCCTTACATCAAACATAGCAGAGCCCTATTCACAACGTCAGACGATTATGTATAACATATGTATATATATATACATATACATGTGCATATATATATATATATGTGTGTACATGTATACATCACGCAGGGCAGCATCGGAGCGGGTAGCCTCGTGGATCCAATACCGACTGCGGGCCATGACCAAGGAGGTCGCTTAAGTATGGGGCGCCGCCTTAACCTGTAGTTCGGCGATGGTGTGTCAAAGCCTTTCGGCGGCAGGCCAGTCGGGGCACGAGGGATGGCGCGAGGGAGGAGGAGGAGGAGGAGGAGGAGGAGGAGGAGGAGGAGGAGGAGGAGGAGAAGGAGGAGGACGAGGAGGAGGAGGAGGAGGAGGATTCTGCTGGATCCTGCTACCTTGCCGCACACGTGCCACCCCCCGCGTCTCTCCGTACTTTCCTGCAGCCCCCAGGGGTCGCAGGAGGAGCGCGAACCTCCGCGACCCCAGGTCGCCGGCCGCAGGAGGAGCACGACCCTCCGCGCGAGGAGGCCCCGGCGGCGGAGGGAGCACGAGCCCCCGCTCGTCGCCAGGGGAGGGGGGCCGGAGGAAGCAGGGGCCTCCCGGCGCCGCACCAGGAGGTGCCGCGGGAGGGCAGGGGGCCCCCGCGGCACTCCCGACACGGCCGCCTGCTATAGGGAGCCCACCAAGGATGCACGCGCCCAGCTATGTACATGAACGCGGCCCCTTGACCCGCGAGACCGGCCGCGCAGTGCGAACGTTCGCGCAACGCGAACTCTCGAAACCAGCGTGGATTCATGTACGTGTACGTCCTTCTCTCGCTCCTGATTCTAGGGCGGGAGGCCGAGGATCCCCATGGACGCCGTGCGCTCGTCGTCCTCCATGCCAGAGGCCTTGTCGACCACTTCATCCGCGGCCGTGTCGAGCCAGGCCTCCGCCTGCGCCAGGGCGGTCTCAGCCTGCTGGACGCCGAAGGCCGCCTCCGGCGTGACCTCGTGCTTCCTGGCGACCTTAGCGGCGCGGGCCAGGCCGTACTGGGCCAGGAACGGGTTGATGTCCGCGTGCGAGGCCTGCGATACCATCTCGGTTTCCAGGATCACCTGGGCCTTTGTCGCGGAGGCCTTCACATCCATGAGCTTCTCGGAGCTTCGTGGTCGCGGTCAATTTCTTCACCTCATCAGCGGCCTTGCTATCCTCCGACTCGCACTGGGTCTTGTCCAGGGCCTGCATACGGCGCCGCCCATCACGCTGGTGACGCTTGGCCTCCAGCGCGGTTTTGGGGAGGGTGTTAACATTAGCACCTAGGCCGTCCTTCAGCGCCACGTTCCTGTACGCCTTCTGCCCCGACGCTACGCTCCTTTGCTCCACCTTGCGCCGTGAGGAAGGGTCGCACGATGCCAAGGCGCGCGTCGATCTCCTTCTGCACCTCGAAGGTCCGCCACCTGCTTCTCCTCGTACTCGTGCACCTTGTCGCCGTCCACGAGGTGGGGCGACGGGACCGGCTCGGTCAGCACCTCCACGCCAGTGCGGATCGCCGCCACAACCGCCGCCGCCACGACCAGGCGACTTCCTCCGCCAGCAGCAGCGCCAGCCGCCGCGGACCGCGCGAGTGGGCCGAGGGCCACCAGCATCGCGCGCAAATTCCCACGGAGGGGGGCGACCGCCGCCATCGCACGAGCGCTCCGCGGGAGGTGGCCGAGCACAGCTGGAGCCCGAACGGCTACGGAGGAGGTGGAGGAGGAGGAGGAGGAGGTGGAGGAGGAGGAGGAGGAGGAGGAGGAGGAGGAGGAGGAGGAGGAGGAGAGAGGGAGGAGGAGGAGGAGGAGGAGGAGGAGGAGGAGGAGGAGAGAGAAGAAGGAGGGGGAGGCGAGGAATTTGGGAGGAGGAGGAGGGGAGGAGGGGAGGAGGAGGGGGGGAAGAGGGGGACGAGGAGAAGGAGTGACAGAAGGGCAGCCCGCGGGGCCGGAGCGGAAGCACGGCCTGTGCCGCGCCGAGGCCGCGGAGCGCCACCTGATCCGGGGCGGGCGGGCGGACCAGGCGGGGCACAGCAAGGGAAGGGGGGGGAGGGTCCTCCCCCTGCTGCTGCTCATGCTCTCGGTCGTCGTCCTCCCATCCTCCTCCTCCTCCTCCACCTCCTCCTCCTCCTGCTCTTCCTCCTCCTTCTCCTCCTCCTCCTCCTCCTTGCGTGCCTCCTCTTCCTACTCCTCCTCGTCCTCCTCTTTCTCTGCTTCCTTCTCCTCCTTCTCCTTCTCCTCCTCTTTCTGCCTCCTCCTACTTCTCCTCCTCCTCCTCCTCCTCCTCGTCCTCCTCTTCCTTCTCATCCTCTTCGCCCTGCTCAACCTCCCATCCTGTGTCATTTCCTCGTGCACTTCCTTCCTCTCCTCCTTCTCCTTTTCGCTCTCCTCCTCCTCCTCCTCCTCCTCCTCCTCCTCCGCCTCTCCGTCCTGCGGAAGATGTCCGTCGCCACTTGATTCACAAAGCTCACTCAGGCGTCGATCAGACGGCACGCTGTCAGTGCCGGGCCGAGACGGCAATCTGGGAAGGCGACTCGCGCCGGTTAGCTGAGCCTGGCGGTCCTCGTCGGGAGGATGGACGGTATAGTCAGAGACACCCAGACCTCCGGGTGTCGCGGAACAACAACAGCTGAATTGCTTTTCGTCCGCACTTTCCCCAGTCAGGCATTGCCGAAGGTTTGTTTGTTGAAAGACTGGTGCTTGGCATTGCGTGGCATTGGTTTGCACTGCCTGGCATTGCGTGGCATTGCGCGGCGAGGCTGGAACAGACCAAGACCAGGGAACCGAGGAACCAAGAAGTACTCCGCGGCCCTCTCCCAGGGTGCGTTCTGACGGGAATTTCGAGGCGAACCCAGCAGTGGCGACGAGGGCCTCCAGGGAGGCCCGAAAAGGTGAAAACGGGCGAAGGGTGGTGGTATGGGTGAAGATCATGGAAGCAAGGAAGCACGGAACCAAGACCAAGGAACCCGAAGAAGGCAGCAAGCCTCCTCCTCCTCCTCCTCCTCCTCCTCCTCCTCCTCCTCCTCCTCCTCCTCCTCCTCGGAACCAAGGAGCCACGACCAAGGACGCCGGGGACGGCCGGCGAGCGCAGGTCCAGCACCCGGCATGCCAAGCGGCATGCCAAGCAGCATGCCATGCAGCGTGCACAGCAAGGCCACGCAATGCGCCCGTGCAGCGGGAAACTGTACCACAGGTGGGGTCGCGCTGCGTCCATTTGGTGCAGAAGGGGCGCTGTCGGGCCGAGAGCCGTAACACACATTGCCCGGATGGAGCACTTCTGGTTCTGGGGATGGTGCCAGCGTTCGAATCCTGGGCCATAGATTGCTCTTGGCACCATCCCGAGGACCCGCTTTAAGCTGGTCCTGAGGTGGTGCCAAGAGCTCTTGTGGCCCACGTCGTGAAGCATGACGTCGTCGGAGGATTGTGGGGGGGCGCATCAGGGAACCAGAAGGGGCGAGGACAAGGGAAAGAGAGCAGGTTGGGGCGGAGCCTTCTCCTCTTCCCCCTCCTCCTCCACCTCCTCCTCCTCCTCCTCCTTCTCCTCCTTCTCCTGCGTTCTCCTCCGTCGCCCTCCTCCTCCTCATTCACCTCCTCCTTCTCCTCCTCCTCCTCCTCCTCCTCCTCCTCCTGCGGGCCCCGACGAGGCCCTCCGAGCCGAGCTGGTGCGAAGAAACCGTCACCAGCTCGTGACTCGGCAAGGCTATGCTTTCCGCTGAGTGTGTGTTTGCTACGCTCAGAAGCGTTGCCAGAATCTCAGCAACAGCGAGTGCAAGGGTCTCAGTGACAATGCGCAGGGTCGCTTGAATCGTCTGTGGAAGGGCCAGCACCCGACCACGGGTAGGCCCATGGGGTAGTCTCTCCTGGGCCTCGTCAGGTCCCTTCTACACGGCAGAGGTAGGACTTTGTAAGATGTTTCATCCTGTTCAATCCTCCTCCCCCTTCTCCTCCTCTTCCTCCTCCTCCGCCTACTCCTCCTCCGTCCTCATCCTCATGCTCCTCCCTCCTCCTCTTCCTCCTCCTCTTCCTCCTCTTCAGAGGGGTGGGAGGGGTGGGAGAGGGGGATTACAGGGATTACAGCCTTCGCGTAGCGAAAAGAGAACTCTAACACGAGCAACACTCGTGGCTCAGTTACACCTTGGGAAACAGGTCGCGGGAGATCCGATCGAGATACTCGCGCCTGGTCTTGGAAATGGGGAGGGTGCAGGGGCTACCGAGGCCCCTGAGCTGGGCCTGGCCGAAGTAGCCACAATCACTGCATAACCATATTCCAAGACGATGATGAAACATTAGGGCGTGCGAGGGGTGGGCCCACCCCCCAGCGACATGTACACGGCACCCCCGACGGACCCGAGACACCCTACCATCAACATTCTCGAGCGGCGTGCATTCACTAGAAAGCCAGACATCCCGAGACGCCCGACTCGCAAAGCTTTTACACACAACACAACTCCTGCCGTCATCACCGAGCACGTGACTGGTTCCGAAACGGGCAATGGTCGAGGGGGCAGGAGGAGGGAGAGGCGGCGGGGCAGCAACGTGGGTGGCGGCCTCGTACTCGCTGCCGCCGGGCTGCTGCTGCTGCAGCTGCCGTGCCTCGCGCCGTTGCCGCAGACTCACCACGGCCAGCTCACGCTCCTTCTGGATGCTGCACAGCGCTGCCCGCAACAGCCTCCGTCGTACCAGTAGTGCCTTCTGCTCCACTGACTGAACACGAAAACGATCGACCTCCGACACACGATGGTCTGTGGCGGCCTCCTGGGCCAGCCTGTCTGCAGCTTCGTTGCCCTGCACCATCCAGCTCGCGTGGTTGTGTCGGACCACCTCTTCGGCCTCGAGGTGGGAAGGTATCTGCACATCTGCGATCTCGGTCGGGGAACGAGACTGAAGATGCCGACCAATGAGCCTCCAGATGCCCGCAAGTTGGCCTGCGGGACGACTGTAGGCTCTGGCCCACCATCCTCTGCAAACTTCCTCACAATCTGTGATAAAAATCAAGTGGCCCGTGGTGCATCGTATCGCCAGCTCCAGAGCAACAAGTTCACCTTTCGCAACAGTCTGTACACCTCCAACCAGCGGGCCGAACAAATGTGGCCCTAGGCGGAAGGGGTCGAATGCCGCAATAACACACACTGCAAGTCCAACACGACGGAGGCGTGGGCCGTGAGTGTCTCGGCCTCCTGACGCATCTCCATAGACTCGAACAGGACGGTCGGCTGTGCCATGGCCCAGACATCCTGGCCCTGCTTCCGCCGTGAGTAGGTTCCCGCCTCGCCAGCATTCCTCGCCTGCTGGGGGAGGGACTGCGGTCCATGCCGCTGGAATAAGACCACGGTTCCAGAAGCATGAGTGCGCCTCTTGGTCGGCCATGGTCTCAGCCGCAAACTGGTCTGAGTCTGCGAAGGCACGAGAATCAGTATTGCATGCACAAACCCAGTTGCGATGGAAGTCGGACTCGGGAGCCTCAGAACAACGATCGCACACATTGGAAGCACACAACTGGAGCTCATACTTCCCCGCCTTAGTCCAGACACCTGCGACTGAAATAGCAACCATCAGCTCTGATAACTGACGGCCACGATCCACAAACTGAAGATTATGAATGAACTTCCGAAGACTCAAGAGATCAGCACCTCCCTCCAGCCCTGCTCCGCAATGCAGCTCAGCAGCGATACGCCACTGCCGCAAGGCCAGAGACCCTTCAAACTCCCTTAATAAATCGTCTGCCTGGTCAAGCGAGCAGAGAGCCTCGTCGTCAAAGACCCACGAGTGCTGCCCACAATCATTCGGCAAAACCCATTCAGAAGGAGTCTTCGGGTCCCAGCCTGCCTGCAGTAGGTACGCCGCCACAGCGGAGAGTGGGCCGCGGATGTGTCGTGACCTCTGGCTCTCAGGGATACCTTTGTGATGAGATACCACCTGTGGCCATGCACGGTAGACGCCCGCCCTGAGAGAGGGTTCGGTAATCCATACTTGAAGCCACTGAGCCAAGCACTGCCGTGGAAGGAGTACGCCTGGATCAGCTGTGGGGGCTCGAATCCCCAGCAAGGTAGTGGTGCAGCGGCCGCGGCGTACTTTGCCAGATGCTGCTGCCAAGCTCCGCCGCTGCTGCTGCATCGCTGAGCCGAACACCCCGTAGATCTGGTGTCCGTACATGGCGGCTGCCTGTGGTCCAGCACGTTCCACGCGTGCCGTAACCCAGAAGCGCCGTGATGCGGCCGCGAAGCGTCGAAGCCGTCCGTGCTGGGCTCGGGCCTTGACCACGCGCTTGCGGGCAGTGGCACGAGCTCCTCGCTTGCCTGCGCCCTGGTCGACTCCCAGGTAGGCCGCCTGAAGCTCCGCCTTAAGAACAATGCCCTTTGCTTTGAGTGCCCGGGCGACTGTCTTGGCGTCGGCGTGATGGGAACACACGACGACGCTCTTGGCAGCTATGCCCAAAGAGACACGACTGAACTCCTCAACTGTGTCGGTAACACCCGCGATCAAGGTCGTCCGTACCTGATGTCGAGAGCCAACAACCTTCTGAGCCAGATCATCGATCCATATGCGTTCCGTCATGTTGGGATGCGCTGTGCACAACTTCTCTAGAACAAAGTATGTGAGGCACCGCCCGAATCTGGTGCCACTCCTCAGCCCTTGGACCACGCTGCGGGTGGGTTGGAAGGGGAGTGAGAAGGACTGAAACTGGGAGACAACACGCGGGGCTGCGCAGATCTGCATCTCCAGAAACAAGATAACATGAGGAAAACTGAGCCTCGCAGCCGTGTCTGCCAGAACTTCAAACTCAATACTGTCGTAAAAGGAAGCGACGTCCAGTAGCGCCTCACCATGAGCAACCCCCATGCGGGAGTACACTTCAGAGTTGAGGCCCCTGAGAAAGGCCTCCCGCAGCGCGCTGTTGCCAGCCACTGCAGCGTCCCAGTGTGGGGCTGAGTCTGAAGACCATTGTCGCATCTGCTCTTCACGAGCCATACTCCAAACTCGACATATCATGGTAAATATCATGGTAACTAATCCGATAACTCTGTCGCCTCCTCCTTTCTTGGCAAGGAGGCGGCCAATGACAATGAGCAGCTGCCAGGGCCAGGACATGCCCTGCTCCACCATGAGGAAGAGCTGGCACAGGCCGTCGAGGCCCTCGTCGGGCAACCGCTCCAGGTCCACTGGTGACAGCTGGTCGGCGCCCAGGCCAGCCCTCGCTTTCATGCGCCGAAGCGCATGTCGCAGGTCGGCCACTGACAAGGGGACCAGCTCCTCGACCATACCCAACTGACGGATACGGTCCATGGTGGCCAAATACTTAGTGTACGTGAGCTCCGTGGACTTCCAGAGCTTGTGCCAGCGAAGAACCTTGCGATCCACGATCTCAATAGGATGTACAGCACAACCTCCTTCGAAATGCAGCTCGTCTGAAGCAAGGGGGTCCCGCTTGATGCTCCTATGGACAATGCCCAGAGCACCTTGCGAGCCGATCCACTCCTGGAACTCCTGCAGAGACTGCCGCGTGGCTCTCGCACGGCCTCGCCGTGCACCTCGGTCTGCAAGAGCAGCGGCAGCCGTGAGCGCTGGGAGCTCCATGAACTCGAGCTGCCGCATGGCGGCAAGCCAGCCGGTCCAGGCGCCCCCACCTGCTGGGAAAAGAGACTGAACACCAGCAGGGACGTCAAGTGCAAGCCTCCGTGCATCGGTCGCCAGCTGCTGAACCTGAACTGTGCCGTTGCGCCGTCGCCGATGCCGTTCGACACGTTGAACGAGAGCGTGGATGCGAGCCCACCAGGACGCTGCCACGTCCCGCATGGGCTGGTCGCGGATGTGGGCTGCAGCATGGACTGGCCCCACCTCCTGAGATGGTCCTGCAGCTCTAGACCGAACTGGAGCATCCAGGTGATGGTGTTCGCTGAGACATCGTTCCGCCACGGACACCCATGCAGCGAAACACCCACTGATAGCCAGGATGTGGGGCCCGCCAGCTGCATACGCGAGCGATGAGCGGATCGCTGGCCAGACGTCTTGAAGAGAGTGTGTCAACCAACCAACCTGGTTCTGATGTTTGAGCCGAAGTGCTGACGGAAGAGCAAAAGAGGGGGAGGAGGCAGCAGGCGCACCATCAGTCGGAGTAGGACGGGCGTCCGAGACGTCCCTGGCCAGAGGGTCCTGGGCAGTGCCGTCGCTGGGGTGGGCCCGACGCTCCCTCGAAAGTTCGCCAACTTGGGTCTCCTCCTCCAGAGAACAAGGATACTGCACCACCTGTCTGCTGAGCACACCACGGGCGGGGGCCTGCTGTAAGTGTGGCCTCTCCACCTCATCCTCGGAGCGACTGATGCCTGGAGGAGCGGGTGCCAAAGCAGGTGCATGCGAAAAACAGGTTTCCTCGGCCCAGGGGTCTTCCTCATCATCGTCGGGGAACCCCGAGCCAGAAACATCAGGATCAAAATCAAAAAACTCTCCTTCGTCGCATGTGCCCTCGAGTTCGAGAGGCCTGCCGCCATCGTCGACAGCAGCAGTCCCCTCACCCTCCTGACACTGCTGCTGGGACGGAAAGAGATCAGAGAAGAGCGTAGCACATATCTCACGCCTTTTTTCACGTGCAGTCGCCACTCGAAAAGCCTGCTGCTGCCTGGACCGACAAGACTTGGAGTCAGGCTGAGCAACAGGAGAGGGCCTCGGCATCTGAGGAAAACGAGGGGCAGTTGGCATGCTGCGTGCAATCATCTGCTTCCCTGAACTGCGAAGTGTAACGCTCAGGCCGCAGTGCGGTGCCCAGGACGCGTCCTGGACTGCGGAAACACTAACTATATAAGGAAGGCAGGCAGCACTGGCAACCACAAAATCGATATGGGAGTCGCCGTTGCCGCCCACCTGAGTGTACTGCACTGGGGCTTTGATGATGTGCCCCTGTATCTTGTCTAAAAAGGAAGAGGTGCGAAAGCGTTCAACATCGATGTTCCAATCACCAGCCACCATCCACGGCATCTGGAGGGTCCTCAAGAAGGATCCTAGCCTTGAGTACCGCTGGGTATTGCTGCCAGAGAATCCAACTGACGGGTGTCCGTAGAAGGTGACGAGAACAAAACTGAAACCTTGCTGATGCAGAACCACAGGGAGGAAACCGTCGAGCTGGTCGTGCCCGTCAGCGCAAAGGTGGGTGACCTCTGTTGGTGTCTCAAAGAGGCGATGAAGGTAGCGGTGGCCTTGGGCAAGAACGAGTTCCCCTCCTTCGTTCGCCCGATCACGTGCAGCACGTGTAGTACCTCGGCCTGTGGGCCTGGCACCGTTGTCGATGAACTTGAGCTTCAGCCTGCGGGCCTTGTTGGCCCACTCATCCCGAGTGCGTCCACAGACATGAGTCTCAACAATCCCAAAATACGTATATTCTTGGAGTCTCTGACGATCTGTGAGGAAATCCCAAGCTCTTTGACCAAGGCAGGTGACGTTGGCAAAGAACAGCTTACTCACATCATGATCATCGATCTCCTCGTCTGCGGGCGCGGCAAGCGGCGACGCTGGCGCTGTTCCCCCAGCGCTGTCGTCGCGGCTCGCCGCGGGGCCTCACTGGCCGCCTGCGCCCGCAGCCTTCTGCCTCTGTGCCTCCTGCGCCGCCGTGGCCGCCGCCAGCTTGGCTGCGGAGGTCCTCGCGGCCTCCGCTGCCACCTGGTCTGGGGTGGGCCCTGACGATGCTGCTGCAGTTGCCGAGGGAGGTGTAGCACTATCACCTCCAGCAGGTCCCTCCTCGGCAGCTTCCCCTGCAACACGTCGCTTCTTCTTCATGCGATCCTGCACGGCCGCCTGGATGGCCAGCGCCTCCTTCCGCCAGGAAGCAAGCTCTGCCGACCTCTGCGTGAGGTTGTCCTTGGCCTCCCGCAGCTCCTTCTCGAACTTGTCCAGCTTCTCCAGCTCGGCGGGGTCGCAGTCGAGCTCCCGCAGCTCGGTGAAGAAACTGGGGTCCCAGTGGAGCTCGATCAGGTCGCCCTTGTCTGGTCCTGTGCAGGCTGCACCCTGGCTGCTGCGGCCTGCGACTCCGCTGCCGCCACTGACTGCCTCGTGCAAGACTTGAGCCGCCAGCTTGCGCTGCAGCTCGGCCTCCGCGAGGTAGGTGGCCATCTCCTGCTCCTTCTGCTCTGCCTTCCGAAGGTTCTCTCTGCACCGCACGACCTGCTGGACAGCTTGGTCGTGCTTGGTGCTCGCGTCCCGCCAGGCGCCTGCGGCCTTGCGCACGGCGTCCTCCGCCGAGATGGCCGTTGGCGGGGCCGCCTGCTGCGCCGCCAGGGCCGCACGGGCCGCCTGCGCCGCGAGCACCTTCTTGACCTCTGGGTCGTCGGTGGCTGCCAGCGCCTGGGCGAGCAGCGACTCCAGAGAGGACGACGAGCCAGATGGTGGAGGGACGGACATGGCCAGCGTATTCTCCGACGTCGTCGAAGTGTTCCTGACATCAGGCTTCTGGCCCTTGGGTTTGTATAATTTGACTGGTCTATTGCAGCCTCGACACTTGCTGGCCTGGGAGACTAGAACATCATTGTATTCATGGCGCCCGCAACCCGCGCATGTCGACCAAGCCCGTGGAGCCCCTGGAGAGAATTTCCCCGCCTTCGTCATCGCGACTGCCTGTTCGAGAAACTAGGAACGGGAAGCGCGATGTCCCTCAAGCCCCACGTGGAGGGGGCGGGGTGGACCCGAGTGCCCTGTGCAAAATGCGGACTCGGGCCCGTTGCTTGAGGGGTGGGAGAGGGGGAGCAGGGTGGTGGGGAGGGGACAGGAAGGGAGAGAGAGGAAGAGGGGGACGGGGATGATGAAGGTGGGGAGGCAGAGGGGGAGAGGCAGGAGGATGGGGACAGACGGATGGGAGTGAGAGATGCAACTTTCAGCGGGAAAGGCAAGGGGAGGCCGCGAAATGCAGAGAGCTTCCTCGATCGGACGTCGTTACCACGAACACTTCCCAGCACGAGGGGGGATGGCTGCGTCTGGCTGCCACCAGGAGATCTTGCTGGCCCAAGCTGCCACATTCGAAATGACAATTCGCGCCGTCGGCAGGAGCGTGCTGCTTGGCAACGCACTCATCCCAGTCGTTACACCTCTGCTGGCGCCACGGCACCTTGCCACCAAGACCGCTCAGTAGAATGCAGGCCAGCATGGCACCAGGCACCCGCTCGAGGTGTCAGAGGAAGGCTGCAGCCCACAATAACTTCACACCCATTGTACCATCGAACGCGTGAAAGCCCACGCGTGCTAGGGGGGCCATGCCCTATGGGCAATTGCTCCGAAGACATTTGGGACAACAAGGCAACGCCAGGGGTGCAGGATGAGGGGGGAGCAGGGCAAGGAGTGAACAGCAGGGCGAGGAAGAGAATGCGAAGAGGGAGGCAGAAGCGGAGGGCAAACGAGCAGGATGAGATCCTTCTCTCACCCTTCCCCTCCTCCTTCTCCTCCACCTCCTCTTCCGCCTTGTCTTCGTCGCCAAGGCTTGCTCTTCTCCTCCACCCCCGTCCTCTCTTCACCGTTCCCCCTCTACCTCCTCCTCCTCCTCCTCCTCCTCCTCCTCCTCCTCCTCCTCCTCCTCCTCCTCCTCCTCCTCCTCCTCCTCCTCCTCCTCCTCCCCCTGGTGACGCTCCCGAGATGCTGCCCTGGAGGTCAGACAGCAGCAGCAGCAGCGGGCGCGCCGGGCGCGGGCGGCGGGCGGCGGGGCCCCCGCGGCCTTGAGGTGCTCGGCCCGCGCCGCGGCCGCGCAGCCGGCGGCCTGCAGCGCGCCCGGGCAGCTGCGGCGAGGGCCCTGGCGGCCCGCTCGGCGGCGGCGGCGGCGGCGACGCCGACGCCGACGAGCTAGACGACGAGCTAGACGACGAGCTAGACGACGAGCTAGACGACGAGCTAGACGACGACGACGACGACGACGACGACGACGACGACGACGGCAACAAGCTAGAGGACGCCGACGCCGGCGCGGCGGCGACGGCTCGCCAGAGGACGGGTAGGGGGGGCAGGGCTGAGTTGGCGACGCGCCGCGCCTGCCCGTGCCCGGCCTCCGGGGGAGGGAGGGAGGCACTTCTGGGGCGGCTGGAGGCGGAGGCGGAGGAGGAGGAGGAGGAGGAGGAGGAGGAGGAGGAGGAGGAGGCGGCTGGACGCCTGCACCTCGCCATCGCTCGGACGTCCACTCCCTGCGTTATTTTTTTTCGGTTTCGTGCGGGGCCTTCTCGCCAAGTGATCAAGGATGCTCCTCGATGGTCCTCGCCGAAGGAAAAATGCACACGTCCGAGCGATGCCAAGGCAAAGGTCCGCCCCCCCCCCCCCCCTGGGCTCGCCGCTCTCCAGAGGCCGCATTTGAGGGGGCCCTGGGACACACGAGGAAATACACACAAATAGGTAACAGGACACCCCATATTTTTGTTCCATATTTTCTGGGTTCTTGTCTTCCCCCCCCCCCACTTCCCATATTTTCCAATCTTTTCTGGAGAATCGACGATTCGTTGTCTCTGTGTGTCTTTTCCCTCCTGAGAATCAGGGGGTGGGATTGAGTTGGCCCTGGAAACGACAGGACCACTTCTTAGCCGTTCCCGCTCTGCCGTCTTTGCTCCTGGCTCCAGGGCCGCTGTTCTCCGTTATGCTCCCAGTTCTGGCTCCGGCGCCCACCCCGGATATGTGATTGGGGCGTTTCAGAGCGCCGTTTCGTTACCGATTCGATGTTCAGAAGACATGTTCCTGCCGTCTCCGGGGCCAACCACAGTAAGAGCTCGACCACAATAATCCGTCCACGAGAAGCCCACCCCTGAGACCACAGGATGTCCTTTGAATTTTGGTGTGGGAACGTCACGCTTTCCATCGCAAAACCATCGAAACCGAAGAAACCCAGGGCACACTGGAGGCAAGCAGGCTGTTTCTTGGCATGGGCTTCCACTCTAAGGGGCTGGGGAGGAGGCTCGAGGTGCGCCGGAGCAGTGGTCCGGCGGCGACCGGCGCAAGCCAGGCCGCGCACACTGCGTGCGGCTTGGCCCCCGTGCGGCCGCAGCACACCCCCGCCTGTGACAGTGGACGCGCTGGCATCCTTGCGGGACTGTGGAGCATCTCGCATCTCGGGAGTCCGAGATTCGAGGTTTTCGGGAGTCTTCGCCGGCTCTGGTGGTCTTCCCGCCTATAGGAGCGGTTCAGCAGCTGCGCCTCGCCCCAAGGGGTTCTCGGGGGGTGTCTGGATCGTCCCGAACGACCGCCGGAGAGCCACGCTATGACCCGAAGGCCAGAGGGAGGGGGGAGGAGGAAGAGGAGGAGGACGAGGAGGATCAGCGCGGCATAGGGAGCGGACGTCCGTCCAAGGAGGACGAGGAGGAGGAGTAGGAGAAAGACTGCACGCTTGTCCTGAGGTGTGTGGAAATTCCCCAGGTGGTTGATTCTGTCGCGAGAGGCCACGCCTGTGGGCCTGGTGGCCAGCAGCAGGTTTTGGAGCACCTGCCCTGGGAGGCACGGTGGTGGCGCACCCGACGGGGGTCTTGCAGCTCGTGACGCACCCATCTGGATCCTCCTCCTCCTCCTCCTCCCCTCCTCCTCCTCCTCCTCCTCCTCCTCCCTCCTCCTCCTCCTCCTCCTCCTCCTCCTCCTCCTCCTCCTCCTCCTCCTCCTCCTCCTCCTCCTCCTCCTCCTCCTCCTCCTCCTCCTCCTCCCCTTCCTCCTCCTCCTCCTCCTCCTCCTCCTCCTCCTCCTCCTCCTCCTCCTCCTCCTTGTTGGCAGGGGGAGTGTCATGTCCAAGTGTGAGACACGGCTAGCCTTTCCTCTGGCATGGCCACTGCACGCACGCTCGCTCGGGCGCGCTTCGGAGGGACGGGGAGGGTAGCAGGGACGCGCAGAGGAGAAGGAGGAGGAGGAGGAGGAGGAGGAAGAGGAGGAGAAGGAGGCGGAGGAAGAGACATCAATACCGCTGCTCGTCCGGGAGAGCCCTCATCGCCACGGCTAGATTCGCCTCGGACTTCTGGTCAGGATGCGCCCCAGAAGAGGTTCGTGCACAATGTCCCCCATGCTCGGGGCCGCAGCCGGACGGACGGAGAGCGCGAGGGCGACGACGAGGACGATCACGACGACGACGAGGACGAGGACGACAACGACGGCAGAGGCAACGAAGACGACGACGCCGACGACGACCTCGACGACACTCACGACGACGACGACGACGACGACCACCACCACCAGCACCACCACCACCACAACGTAGCCGCCGCAGGCGCAGTCGCAGCCGCAGCCGGCGCCTCAGAGAACGAGGAGAGGAGAGACGGAGGAAGAGGAGAGGAGAGGAGAGGAGGGGAGGAGGAGGAGGAGGAGGAGGAGGAGGAGGAGGGGAGACGACAAGCTAGGTGCGCTCGCGTCATATCTGACGTCCTACCCCTCCCTCCCATCCCTTACCATGGCGCTGATTTCCTCTATCCGCGGACTAGTGGGTGATGGTGCGCGTGCGTGCGTGCGTGCGTGTGTGCGTGGTTGTGGTGGTGGTGGTGGTGCTGCTGCTGCTGCTGCTGGTGCTGGTGGTGGTGGTGGTGCTGGTTGTGGTGGTGGTGGTGGTGGTGGTGCTGCTGCTGCTGCTGGTGGTGGTGTTGTGTGTGTTGTGTTGTGTTGTGTTGTGTGTGTGTTGTGTGCGTGTGTGTTGTGTTGTGTTGTGTTGTGTGTGCGTGTGTGCGCGTGTGCTGTGGCATGGCACGGGAAATGACGCCAGCGCTGCAGCGGGAGCACGAGTCGAAACGGGCGGAAGCGCGGAAATGAGGCCAGCGCTGCAGCGGGAGCACGATTCGGAACGAGCGGCAGCACGGAAATGAGGCCAGCGCTGCAGCGGGAGCACGATTCGGAACGAGCGGGGCCCGAAAATGAGGCCGGCGCCTCGGCGAGAGCAGCGTTTTGAAAAAACATAAGCGAAAACCCGTTTCCCGGGAATCCTGCGTAAAAAACAATACGGCGGGGGGTCGGATATCTTCGGGACGCCTTTAGGGGAAGTGGGAGAGTATTTTCATATTGTGTAATTGTGAAGAGAGGAGAGGAGAGGATATGAGAGGAGAGGCGAGGAGAGGAGAGGATAGGAGCAGTAGAGGAGGAGGAGGAGGAGGAGGAGGAGGAGGAGAGGAGGAGGAGAGTAGGACGAGGAGGGAGGAGGAGGAGGCGGAGGATGAGGAGGAGGGAAGGAGGCGAGGAGGAGAAAGGGAGGAGGAGGAGGAGGAGGAGGGGGGGAGAGGAGGAGGAGGAGGAGGAGGAGGAGGAGGCGGAGAAAGTCCTGACTGTAGAATTACGCAGCTGCGACGCCTCCCATTCTGAACGCTGTGCAGCACGGGGTGCCTTCGAACAACTGCAAGATGCATCAGCAACGCGCTGGGCAACGACAGCGTGCAGGAGGCCCCGTCAAGCAGCAGCCTGTGGCCGCCTGCTCCTCTCGTGACCGCCCCGCGCGTCTCCAAGCCCCGGGCGCTCGGCAGGTGGACCGGCCACCCACGTCGTCCCCACTCCTCGGGGACAGACGCCACGCGACCAAACCCCCCCGGGCTCTCAATGAGGCGAGCTGGCCATGGCTATGCTTTGCATCGCTCAGAGAAGCATGGCCTTGGACGTGCTGTCCTCGACCAGAGAAGAATGACCAAGCCTGCGCGCACAGGGGGGTGGGGGGGAATAGCTTGGTTGCGTCAGTGGCGCCAGTCCCCCACTTCCTGCTGCAGGACACCAGAGTCAGCACCTGCCCAGAAGCCACTCGCGGCCCTCTCCAAGTGTTCCTCCTCCCCCTCCTCTTCCCCCTTCCCCCCTCCCCCTTCCTCCTACCTCCTCCTGCCTCCTCCTCCTCCTCCTCCTCATCCTCCTCCTCCTCCTCCTCCTCACCTGCTCTTTCTTCCTCCCTCTCTCCTCCTCCTCCTCCCACCTCCCTCCTCCCTCCTATCCCCTCCTCCTCCTCCTCCTCCCTCCTCCTCCTCCTCCTCCTCCTCCTTGTGCTCGTGGGGGAGGGGGGAGGGGGGGAGCGGGGCGCGCCGCCCCGGCCCACGGCGTCGCCACGCGGCTCGTGGGGCTGCCGCGAGGCGTGGCGCCTCGGGAGACCTGCGCGGCGGCACTTCTCCGCGTCGGCGTCGTCGCCGTCGTCCTCCTCCTCCTCCTCCTCGCGTCCTCCTCCTCGTCCTCCCTACTCCTCCTCCTCCTCGTTCGTGCTCGTCGTCCCCCTCTGTCCTCCTCCTCCTCCTCCTCCTCCTCCTCCTCCCTCCTCTTCCGCCTCCTCCTCCTTCTCCCCTCGTCGTCGTAAT